AAAGTCTCGAGAAGCCATGAGAACAAAAGGCAATTTTTTTACCTGTGGTCTGTTGTTCGTTTCCTTCGCACAGCATCTGCTTTCGCGGCATCAAAGCAAACTTAGGCCTAAAACTAATAGACCAGCTGTAGATGCTTTAGGTGTTTTAATGGGTACGCACCAGAGCAGACTATGGATACCACTTTGTGCTCCCTTCTTTTGTTGTTGGCACGTCCAGACTTCAAATCCGCAGTCCAACCATGCCAGACGTATAAGTTTTGTACATTTGCGCCAAAAGACCTTGAATTTTAATCTATTCAAATACACTGCTTATCAGAGCACATTACTAAATAAATGAATCTCTTTTATTGGTGTACTGTTATCGGCACTTACAAGTCAGTTAGAAAACTGATTATTTGGGCAGCTAGTTATGCTGTATTTAGTAAGGCAGGTACAGTGTGGCTAATCAATTCCACAGCGAGTACCTGACTTATCTCCATCTAATTAATACTTAAGATGTTCCACATGGCAACCGATTATCCATGTATTTTGCACCATCTAAACTAAATTACCGAATAATTCTTGTCAGCCTTTCAGAGTGTCCCCCGCATCGTCCCAAATCACACTTGAGATACTGCCGCCAGCAAATGACAGGTGTTGAGAGGGTATATGAAATATTCGTGAGTCTCATCCTAAGTGAGAAGATTTACTTTGTCGAACAATGCGAAGTCAATATCTCTATATTTCTTGATGTGGTCCACTGAATCACCAGTTATCAAGTTTTTCCCACAAACTAAAGATAGAATGACAGCAACCATGTAATTTAAATAACACTTATCCATGCCTTTACAACTTGTGTGTCCTACATAGGTAGGAATAAATATGTGCCTTATTATATTATCATTACTAACTATTCTTACTAATCTTATGTGTAATTTATCGGATTGATGATGTCTGCAAACTGGCGTCCCTCATACACAAAAATGAAAATATATTATTATTATATAGTGCGTAATGATAGTAATTATATTTTCAAATAGCCAGTATTTTAATTTAGAAAAATGCAATCTCTTAATGGTATTAAAGTACCAAAATATATTACTTACTAGCCGTCCTTATTAACAGCAGCAAGAAACACTGTACAGAATGATAAAAGTTTGTGAATTCAACTGAAGTTCCCCTAATTCACCCCGAAATGTCACTTGGTTTTTATGTGCTTGTGGAGGTAAATGTGTAACAACAGAAGACAAGGGCCAGGCAACAGATCAGTTTTATCACGAAAACCAACAGGTATTTATATGTTTTTTACGTACATTAATAGCCTTCTGCCCGCAGAAAGAAGGCGGTCTTCTGATTGGTTGTTTGCAAACAAACGCAGTCTTCTGCTTTCTCGTTTTCGATATTTCTCGGAAATGCGAGCCACTTGTCTGCGAATCATATTTGTCCACGTTTAGGTCAGCTGTGATCGGTTGTTGAATCAGCCTAGATTAATTTCTGCCAATCAGCGTAGATCAATGTCTACCAATCGGCTAGCAGCTTGCTCTCACCACAAATGTAGCAACACTGAGAATAATTGATTTTTGGAGATTTTCGTCTTTAATAAGCTCATGCACTCAGACAAATGACTCACATCGATGGTTTTAATTTTCATTTGAATGGTTTTAGACTTGTATTATCATATTTTCCTCAATTTTAAGTTCAAAGCCTCACTAGAGCAAGCCGATGATGACAAGAGATTCGGATATTCACCACAGAATGTGGCTCCATATGTAGGTCAGATGTAAAATTTGGTGTATCTAGAGGATGTGTGCTTGTTTGTGTTTACTCTGGATGGGTTACTAAGCCCGTCAAAGCGAAATATTGATATTATGAGTGACATGCGCAACTAACTTTTGTAGTGATTATATACAATTGAATCCATTTCTTACTTTCTTGGAAGCCAGTTGGTTACACGGCTTGACTGACTTTGTTCTTATTTTCGGTTGGCTTCAACTAGAAATAATGTCACTTATTCATGTGTGGACGACTACCTTCTTGGACCTGACTTTGGCACACTATCTGCTGACTCCTTAGCCTGGCCAATCTAACATGGTGACCAGTCTGTTCTCAACGTTTTCCATATTAGTGAAGGGCAGATATAATACTTACTGCTGTTTGAGAATGTACGTAATAATGGTAGTATTGGGAGGATATGGAGGTACGCAATCACTTCACGAAACAACAACTGTGCTCTTATCCTTTGAAAATTCAGTTGTCCGCAGTGTGATTCAGTCACCAAAAATAAGCGGATTTATAATTGGAGATGAATTAGCTGGAGTTCAGTTGAAGGGACAAATCTCTTCGGTTACTTTCTGAGAAAACCTCCATTGATAAATAGTGTGACCATCTGAACGCGGTGTCAAAGGAAACCTGTAGGCACATCTTTGGGAGAAGGAAAATGCAAGACGAGGAATAGCTAAAAGCCGGAAAATAAACAAGACCTGTCGGAATTCCACGAGAAGCACTGGAAATGAACCCACAGACCTCAGAGGACAAGCCCACTTCGTTAATGCAGGCTTAGAAGGAAGAGAATGTACATACCGATGAGATGAAAAGTTACACCATCAAACAGCCAAGGAAGAGTTATATGAGCTTTCAGGAGAGCCGGTGTGGAGTTATGGTGCTATCCACCTAAAGCATAATACTAGGCCTCATCATGCTGGAGACTAAGGGATGCTATGGGTGGAAATTTTCGCCTCGAACAAGCTGGGTTCAGGGAAAACTAGTCATGTGCAAACCGGATTGCCGGACCTCACATCATCACACACGGTGTAGAGTGGTATTCAACTTTCTAGCTAAACTTCGTTGACTTTGGAAAGGAGTTATATTGTAACCACTGTGAAGTAATTCCACAATTTCCTCGAAACTACTAAGTGCACTGTCACAAACTTCAGTAGACATCTGCCTTCACATTCTTGATGCTGAATATCAAGTGACTAGAAGTGATTGGAGACACAGAACTTTGTTTCTTTCGAAACTCTGTCCACTTATAAATGATGTATGGTTGTTATGTGAAATGGTTTTTTTAAACATGGAATAAATGCAGTTTGTCATGTTTTAGAGATTTGGAAAGTAATACTGTACAAATATGATTTGAGTAGAATACGAGAGCAGCAGAAAATTATTTCCTCTAATAATGGATGTGCTCTTTGAATGTGACGTGCTTTTTCCTTTCTAACTGGAAACCCAATCTTCCTGGCCTTTGGATCAAATTCGGCCATTATTTCCACACTGAATGTCTGTGTGGCGAGCCCAGCTGTGTCGAACTACTGGCAAAGCCTCAGTTGCTATTTCCGCAGCAGCATCTTCCTCACTCAGTCAGATAAAAAAGACTTGTTGGTCTGTCACCTGATTGCCTTGAAGCCCAATAGCCTGAAAGATCTAGGTGAAGTCGAAAACGATTCCATCTTTTATCATACTTATCAGTCTTTTTGTTCTTGTTCTATCAAACGGACACCGTTACTATCTTCGACACATATTTGAGCATAATTAATTACATCCGGTAATAAAACAGTCAAAACTAACATCAAAACTGAGCTAGGACGCTATATCCTGGCTTCAGACAGAGGAAATAAGCCGGCGGCATTAACGCCACACTGCATTCCTGTTCTTAAGACACGTTACATATGCCCTGCTCTAACAGTAAGCCTGTGTTGTTACAGTCCAGCAATGAAACCACACAGGCAAAAGCAAATGGATAAGATACTGCACCTGAACCCACAGGAAGCCAATGTATCACACACGTCAAAACTAAAAAGCAAACCCTCAAAACGTCATAAGAACTGAAAAGCGTTTTCTGAAAAAGGAGACGATTGCCAGGCGTGTAGTACTATAGTCTGCAGTGGAGACCGAGTATTTGAATGCAATTTTTGCAGACGATGGACGCACTGCCGCTAAGATAAATTTATGCTGACAGCATACCATGAATTTATGCAAAATAACCCATGCGCATGGTTCTGGTGCATGTAATCATCTCGTTGCCCATACAGCATTCATGCAGCGTTCCACTGATCAACATCCCGTCATCAAAAAGAATCAAAAACTGCAAACACGATCTCTAGCGCAACAGACTAGGAATATTAATCCACACAAATCATAGCCACCTAAAGTCACATTTTACCAGCAAAAACACTGGAAACTTGCTTATAGGAGCAACGGGTGTAAGCGGAATTGCTAAAAGACTACTTGAATCCATTAGCGTGACACAGACTAACCGGACCCTGATTCATTTTAGGGTTACTCACCTTGCAAAGAATGACAAGCAGCCAAAGACTAAACCTAAGCCTTAGCTCAGTCAACCAAACTGCCTTACGCTGTCTGACGTAGGAGTGTACAATGAATTGAGGCTTCATAACAAGCCACTAAAATTGTGAAGGTTACACAGAGGTGTTCAGACACTTCAAGGTAAGCCAACTCCATTTGGGGTGACACTGCGCTCTGCCAAAGAAGCTTCAGGGATATTATCACCGTCACAAATACTAGCTATCGACAGGAACTCTGGTGTAAGAGTAAGACCTGATAAACAGTGTGCATATAGGCAGATGGTGAGGCAGTCACGTGGATTAATGCCCTCTACCCACATGGTTATACACGGTGATCTAGAGGTGTAAACTGGCACTGCTTGTGAAAAACACATGCATGATGTACAGCAGTGGAGATGGTTGTCGTCTCAAATGGCCCTTGGTTCTTGTAGGGTAGTCTCAATTTTCAGAATACCTCGCCCCGTTCTCATCTCACACTGATCGGCTCCTCAAGTCCACTAACTGTCAAATTCAGCCCCAGGAGCAGCTGACTGTGAAAGACTAGGAAACGGTCAGTGACATGACTTTCAATGTCAAAAATCCAAAGTAGTGCAACTACGTACTCGTAGGCTTGTCTTGCAAAAGACGAAGCATGAATTAGGTCTACTTCTGGCAGAAAAATGGACACAAGTGTGAATTACATGGGTGATGTAAGTAGTGATGAAGTGAGAATAAAGAGCGATTTTGAATACTTGTTGGGGTTTTTTCGAATCTTCAAGGTCGTATGGCCATCTGGTGGCCTTTCACGCAAGTTGTTTGGTGGTATTTTTTCCCATATGGAGGTATTAGAAACCGAGAGGAAGCTGACATCCCAATTGATAACATAGAAATTATTTCTGAATTATAATTTATCGACTGAATCCGTGTTGTCAAATAATTGTAGATACTTCTCTTTACAAAATCTGGCAAAGTTTAACTATCACAGTAATCTTGAACAACTACACAAATGATGTATAGAGAAATCATACCTTGCACGGTGTATGCATCCATCCAGTTGACTGTAGGTCATAGCACTTTAAGATCTGTTGATGTTTCTGACCATATTCTCCAACCTACTAACTCTAAACATAGTCCCAACTGCTAAATCTAGATTTTAATCTAAACCTCAACATAAACCCTGAAACCTTAATCTTTATCCTACTTGACAGTATAGATTTGAAGAAAAAGTGCCTAGTAAATGTATAGAGTACTGTATCTATCCTATCCAAGTTCAAAATACAGGCACTATTTCCTCTGGAATGACATTTCATAGTGTTTCGTGTGTCTGATCGGTTCTTGAAAGTTAACTTTTGAAAGACCTTGACTTCAGCTATAGTAGTTTAATCCGCCCGAAAACCACTCCGTAATGAATAAATTTGTTAAGACCTTAATAAATACCATTATTGTAATTAGCACATATTTTGTTCGTAAATGTTCAGGTTTGTGCTATTCCCAAGCTTACAGTAATGCTGAACTAATTATCAACTATCCCTCGACAATGCGGTCTAGTTCTTAAAGGGTACTTTGTCTCCCTGAAAAGACCTAGTATGTGCTCAATAATTTGGGTAGTGCTTATGTATTTTGATAGATGCTCAACAAAGACATGCTGTTCTGAAATAATGCTAGTCGAAACTGAAGACACTGAAATGATGCTGAGAAAAATGCCAGATGACAGTAAACTAACACCTCGGAAGCCGCCAACTACACGGAGTGAAGTTTTGTACGGAATATGGAGTCATATGAGAATCATTTCAGGTTTCCCTCACCTTAAAAAGTAGGCATTAGTTCATCATTTGCGAACATTACTTCAGCACTATTGTAGGCTCGGATTGTCTTACTTGTGAAGTGCTGTTTTCAAATTTGGGTCTGTCATTGCGGTACATACTTGCCTAAATTTAATTTCTGGTCCGGAATAGCATCTTAAGGTGGCTAGATGGCTGTACTATATCCGGTTTTTTATATCAGAGTGACTGGTTTCAACATAGAACTTTGTACTTATGTGCAGCAGTTCAAGCCAACATACTCCATGTAGCACACAAAGCAAGAGATAGTAGAAGAAATGCATAATAGAGACAGTAGACCGCGATATGAGATAAAAGGAATGATAATAACGGAGATCAACATAGTCTCATTGTAAATTATAAGTCACAAGGTGTTGATGCATCTGCACCACTGGGAACGATTTTGAGCCAAATCACCAATTGTCACCAACCATTGGTGTTTACCATCCCGAAGACCCCAACCAGGAAGTCTACATCTCCCTACGTGGCTTAAACTAACTGTTGTGGATTTCATTGACTGAGGAAGCCATGTTTCGGTTTGGCCACCACTGGCTCTTTTCCAACCTGACCCTATGTCAGCTGACATTGCCCATTGTTGAGGAAGGCGATGGCTAGGCATGCGTAACACATGTCCTAACCATCTCAATAGGTATAACTTCACAACCTCGCCTATTGATTTCCCCTCCTTATCTAGCACTCGACCGAAGTCTTACCTCAAGATTGCTCACCCTATTATACCACTTCACACGGGAGATAGAACGCAGGTGCCTATGATCCAAGGCACCTAGCATTTTCATGTTTTCCACTTTCGACAGCCACGTCTCACAGTCATAAAAGAGTACAAAGCGAACTGCTGAGCAGTACACACGTCCTTTGGTCGACAGCCGGATATCACTTAATCGGCAGAGATGGTGTGGATTGGAAAGTGCCAAACGAACCTTCTTTATCCGTGCTGAGATTTCGTCAGCGATCAACCCGTTGGCACTGGCTGATGCAACTCCCCAAATAAGTGAAGTGGTCAACACGCTCTACGACCTCATTCCTTATTTCTAAGCTAGGAGTCTGTAGTCCAGTCCTGTATCATCATCTTACATTTGGCGGAAGAGAATCGCATGCCAAGCATTCGCAGATTGCAGCTCAAGGTTTTCAGAAGACTCTGCTTGGTTTTGTCAGCTTCTTAACCTAGAAGGACCATATCATCTGCATATTCTAAGTCAACGAGATTATTCCCTGGTAGCAAGTCAATCCCTGCGTCTCTGAAGTGAGTTAGGGTTAAGTCCGTTAGTACACCTATGATGAAATTGAATAGAAATGGGGACTGGGTATCCCTGACGGACACCACTAGTTGTCACCAGTTCAGATGACAACTCACCGTAACCTCTCACCTGGCTGCATGAGTTCGAGTAAAGTGCCTTTTTATATCAGAATTACGAGTCATAGCAAACTTCTGGTGAACATCAAGCTGTAACGTCCACTCCAGACTTTGTTCAATAAAGCAGAAATTACTTATGCATATCAAGAAATATAGGTGCTTCATTTTTGTGGTTCATGTGATGAAATAAAGGCAGCTGGTGAAATGTGGAAACATGGGATACAACTGGCAGTTGTAGAATAATTTTGATTAGATACTCACCTTTCTTGATACATTTATTAACTAAATCCCGACTGACTTTCACATGCGTTGAGTGGACTTTTGTCACACTGTACTCACAGTCACTAATGGTAATGAACTGAAAACTACTGGCGGGCTCAGTATTCATCATGGCCTAAAAAGTAAAGTTTTTGTTGGTGTTCTTATTTCGCTTTCACTATCTCTAATTAGCATGTTTCCAAATACCTGCAGGAAATAATCTTTCACATTTAGTAATAAACCATAACAAGATTTTTAGTACTGTGGTCAGTTTTGCACTTTGCAAAGAGGTAGTAATCCATTGAAAATCAGTCATGTGGTTTGAGGATGAAGGCAACCATATTGGATTAATAATCCATTCGGTAATAAATGTACAAGAGATGTGACGTACTTTTGACCTAATGGTGATTTCGTATTTCATCGTAGCAACAGCGAATTCAGTAATCGGTACTTCTAAGGCGTTTCTTTGCGAAATCTACAAAGCGATGCACTCTGTTGCCTGATTCGGCGGAAGGCTTGGAAAGGTCATAGAGAAGTACATCCAGACGTCCCTAATGCAGATCCATGATTATAGGCAAGTTTTTGACAGGTGAAATATGCCATCTAATAGTCCACAAGTAAGCAGTCTGAAGTAAATGTCTCCTGGGTGTGTTCACAGGAAATTAATTTGCCTGTCACATGTTCCAAGAAACGGTTAATTTTCGTAAGACGATGAGAAAAAAAGTACCAACCATGTAGACATTTTCATTAGCTCTCAAAGTTTTATGTTCATTGCATACTATTTATCTTCTCTCCTCAAATGTCAATAGCTCGCTTTTAATACTATTCCCCGTAGAATTTCTTTATCACATGACTGTCACCAATGCTTACGACATAAGCTAGAGAAGTACTAAATTAAAAAAGCCATAGGTTTTAGAACATTTGCTTAAATCCCAACGTATTCAAATGTGAATAGGAGTATGAGTGGATTTTGTCAGTTGTTAATGATAACCTAGACTAGTCTGCAAACATCTGTACACTGAATTAGTGTGGCTATCTAAATGGAATATAGTTTAACATGATTATGCAAATCTGTTTCATTGTATACAAACCGAAGTACTTTCCATATCAAGCTTTATTTTATTTGTTACTTATTTAGATATAATCACTCAGTTATACAAATGAATGAAAGTGCTGAAATAGTTCGATATCCTATTTCCTTGTGTGCTGTTCAAGCAGATATATTACAAGCATTTTTTGAATGTCAGCTTCGAGGTCTTCGTCACAGTTGCAAATGGCTTACAGATTTACTATGGTCTATAAATCTTCCGATAATATCAGCTCCGGATAGCGTTTTCTCTGCTAGCAACGTTCACCGAAGTATACCAGCAGATAAATTGACTACCTTCCTACTTGCTCGCAGTTGTTTTGACCTTCAAGAGTATGATCATTGCGCTGAGATATTATCGCATAATTTTGAGAAGTCAATTCATGATTATCCGAAATGTTTTATCGATAACTATGGTTATGTGTATTATTTCCTGTATATATATTCACGGTATATGGCCTGTGAAAAACGCCGTGCTAATGATGCTGTTGAATCACGGCTTACATTAAAACCAAATGAAGAAGCGAAATCATCATTTCTGTCTACTGCTAGATGTAATAAAGAACTTTCATCGTTAAAGTGTGAAATAGAACCATATACAAGTAAAATGAATTACAAAGATGAAAATAAAACTCATAGAATTGGTAACTCATTCCTCTTATATGCTAATGCATTGATTTGTCTTCGACTGGGAATGAAGGAGACAACTATATCATTATTAGTTCAGGCGATTAATTTTTATCCTTTTCTATGGCCTGCATGGTATGAATTAATTGATCTTATTGAGAATAAAGAAGAAATGAATAGTTTAAACCTTCCCACAGATGATGAATGCTGGATGAGATATTTCTTTGAAGCCAAGGTTAGAAATTTTCCAGCGTACTGTTACTGCATATTTCATGTAACTTTCCTGTAGTGTCAGCGTACTAGTTATTCGAATTCGAGTTTTTCCCGTAAAATTTAAGCTGTTATATCAGAGAAGTAACATTATTACTACAATAATCCTTAAAACTTTAGTTTTTTAAATGGAGGTAAGGTTTTATAAATGTTTGCTGTGAGGGAGTCGAACGATGTGAAAATATAATTTGATGCGTACTGAATATTTTGAGTGGAATGAGTGTAGGGTTCCAGGCTTATTATTTTTTTTATCGTTTCTATTGATGAAGGGGAGTAAAGCTGCAATTTTTGCACTCAAAACTTATATTTGATAGTTGGAAAGAATTAGCGAGTAACCCTTCACTTAGGTTTGATTTTTGTTGGTATTCACCCAGACACCATATTCACAGAACTTATTTTCAATGTGATAAAATTCCACTGCTGTTTATTGTAATATGTTCTTGTTGTATTACTATTTGAAAATAGTCTTCTCTCCATATTTATTCTGACAGGTATATTTGAAACTACATGAAGGTGAAAGAGCTTTAGAGATCCTTTTAAAACTATCAGGAAGTGGATTCAGTAAAAGTTTTAATTTACAAGCAGCAATCGGCTTAGCTTATGATGAATTACGTGCTATCGAATTGGCCAAAAAACAATTTAAGCAGGTAACTCCTATGGACAGTAAACAATAATATTTATAACGTTTAATATCATAGGAAAGAAAAACTGTAGTATTTGTATAATTTGGTGAAGCCGTCCTGCAAGCATGGGTAATTGGTTCTCATTCACTTTAAGTTGTAAGCAGTCAAGTAGTATCACAATACTATAAGTGCATCTCGTACCCTATCGGACGAATGTACATATGGTTACTGAGTGATGAGAATATTGTTTACGAATTGCTACAGATATAATGATTCTTTCGTTTATATATCCACAGCGGTATCGAACTTAGTATAGAGGAAAGTTGTGTAGTAACCCAAACCAGTCTTTCGTTATTGTATTTCTACTTATCATCTAGCTTGATTGTGAAACTAAAGACTCATCACCGCCCCTGACATTCACTTTTTAATTGTAAGGTTAGATTAAAGATTATTAGTTGTTCAGAACAACTGTCATCATTTCAACGTATTTAGTGGGACTGTTTTATCTAATATCTGGTTGCATAGTAAGATAAATATTGTTATCTACTTTAGTAAATAAACAGGTGAACTTATATTAGCCAAGTAACCATTGAAAATTTAGACTCACTGAAAATTTGTTTCTTGGTGCGTGTGTGTTTGAATCGGATTTTACCCTCAATAACAAGACTGAAAACCATAGGACTAAGTTTTTATATAACTAAATGATTAACTGCAAGCCTACCATAATACTGCCATACTACGTACAAGCATGTAAATTTTCTAAGCACCAAGTAGAAACGTCATTCTAAAGTACATTGAACAAAGCTGCAACATAGTTTGACACCGCCTACTCAATGAACATGTCTTAGGTGTTATTTAAAACCAAAGACATCCTACTGTCTGGTGAAGTGTATCATACATACCAATATAATGTCAGGATAATGTAAATATTCCTCTTTGCAACTTATCCACTTTAATATGTCATAAATCCATCCCATAGAAACCAACATTCCCAACAAATTAATTTACTGGTTCTTGTTCCCCCAAGATTTTTAAGTTTATAACTTGATGTCACACTATCGAGAAAGTTAAGTGCATTGTCATGTAAACATCACTGCTACCAACACTTCAAAGCTCTAGCTTGAAGCCCTATGTTCCACTGGGAACGTAGAGGAATAAAATAATAAAAAATATAATAAATAACATGTAAACATGGGCGACGACCTGTGTTGCCATACTTGGAAGCTTTACTACGCTGTCGTATGGAACCATCCTTAATAACCCACTATCCATATGTATATCCTAGTGTAGATAGTATACAACACTTCTGTTGCACGAAGTTCTTCGGAACTATTTGGGTTAGATTGACTGGATCATATATCTTATATTACTGTGTAAGTTTTCTAAGTAGAATTCATGTAGGATAAAACGTGCTGTTGTTATCACAGTGATGTAGCTTGTCAATTAAGAAAGTCAAAATTTGGTGAATAGATTTCGGGTTTAAACCGCGCTCCACTCAGTGACCGTTTTCGTAGTTAGATAGCGTTACTAGACGTCATTTATTGTTACGCTTTTTCAAATGCACATCATAATTATGTTCCTTAAGTACAAACACTGTAAGAAATGTAGTTACTTGTTTTTATGAATATGAAAAATCAATATTTTACTTTTTCTTTCTGTTCCACCTTAAATATTACAGTTGTTCAATGCCTGTCCATGTCGATTAGACAATGTGGATGTATATTCAAACATATTATACGTTTGTGAAGATTTAACAGAACTAGCTCATTTAGCCCATCATTGTATTAATTTGGACAGATATAATGCAGAAACGTGTTGTGTTGTGGGGAATTTCTTTGGGTTACGTGGACAGCACGAAAAAGCTGTCATGTATTTTCGACGCGCTCTTAAATTAAGAACAGCTTATCCTTTAGTATGGACATTAGTTGGTTAGTTCCTGTTATTATTTTAAATGTTATATATATATATATATATATATATATATAAACATATATATATAAGCATATATATATATATATATATATATATATATGGTTTTATGTTGCCATAAGGATAGCGTGTACCTAATTCCAGTCGGTAATCTCCAGGTTTTTTGCATTTTTCACGGTTTCAATAGATTGAGGGTGTCTTACTAGATCGCTTAATTTAAAACAGATAGATTACGTGTTTAATTATTGCTCTGTTCCCGGAGGTAGCAATAAATGGGTGGCACTATCAAGCATCACAAAGTAGGTTTGTGACGTTGTCAGGCTTGAAGCAATTCACACGATTGTTAAACGACATTTCATAAGCTCATCTACACTAAATATGTTTCAAAGATTAGTACATAAAAACACCTATCACGTATTTGAATCGTGTAATAGGCAGCAGCATAAGGCACTAATACTCAATAGAATCTACGCAAAAATCAAATGGTATCGGAAGATATCTTCTGTAAAATATATAATTAACATTAGTGGTGTCTATAGGAAGAGTTTGACGAAACTGATCAACACAAAAATGTCCACTGGGACTTGTTATGCTCAGTATTGATGGGTTTGAATTTCTGAAAACAGCATTAGATTTCTCGAAGGTGCTGGGGGGTAAATTTCTACATTAATTTGTCACTCTGTCAGTCAGTAGATGTGGATTATTTATTCTCTTTTAGTTGTGTTCTCTCAGCTGGTCGATTAAATTGTAAGACTTTCACTGACCTCCTAGACAACATCTTCAGTGCAAGCTTGAGTATGAAGTAAACCTATTTGAATTCTCCATAAATTATATAAGTGTTTATTTATTTAAAACACAAACTTGGTACAGTAGGTACACTAAGAGATACGCTATACATAATTACGAAAGTAACAGTATTTAAGGGAAGAGATAGAATGATCGAGGGACGTCATCCACAAAACAAGCTAACACTTGTGAAGATCACTCAGCCTTCATCACTTCATGTTATATTAAGAAAGGAAGCGTGTTCGCCATTGTTTGTGATTCTTGGCCATGTCTGATGAATTTTCGAGCCACAGATTCGAATTATCTCTCAAACGGACCCTCAACCAAGAAGTCACGATGTGTCAACTGATGCTAACTAACACAAATATCCTCCATCCCTCGGCACTATGTCAGAAACTGACCACCTTTCGGCTTTTATATCCACTTCCAGGGCTAGCGAACAGAAACCGGTATGGCGACCTCTGCAGTGACGTTCGTAGCACATGTCCTAGCCATCAAAACCAGTGTTTCGAGATGACTACACAATAAATGGTGACGTCCACCGTGTCCTAACCACCGGCTGCTGGACACGATGATGCCGTCGGACGCAAGCAGTTCTACAGAGACAGCGATGACCGAATACGCAGAGCCGCGGAACATCCTTAGCCCAGAGAGGCTAAGTTTCACAGGCATTGAGCAAGACTGTACGCGCCAAAGCACCGTAAACCCGACCTATAATAACTATTTCGACGTCGTGACAGCACTGGAGGTGGCTCAAATTAGCATACACCACCCTGGCTCTCACTTTACGACTAGAAATTTCGTCCGTCACACCCCCGTCTGCTCTCACACGACTACTTAGATGCACGAACTTGTCGACAACTTCAAAGGGTTCACCTGCAAGGGTGAGTACAGGAACAGGTGCCAACCAGTCTTGCAACAGCACTTTGCACTTAGACGGCACAGAGCACATCATACTTGTAGACACTGGTCACTTATAAATACTGATAAACCAAGAAATTACTTGATATTGAATTCCTCGCAGATCACTTTTAAAGATGGTGTCATTAGCATCTGTCTGAAAGTGATTTCATACAACTTTATCACTCCCCATGAGAAACTTAAAGCTTTGTGATATACTTTGGTTTTTTTTCGTGAATTAGAATATTTCTGAAGAAAGTTGCTTCATGTAAGCACAGACTGAAGACTGTTGGATAAATGACTTTCTTTAAGTTTGAACTATCCACGAAGTTTTTGGTTTTTACAGAATTAGTCAAATAAGTAGATTCGTTTGTGACTAACGGTGGAATCTGTTTCATTTTATTTTGTGTCCATCAACCGAATGTGTGTGAATTGGTGTTTCCGATGAAATACAGATATCGGGAATTACAACATTATTTTACTGCTTTTGACATGAATTTTGTATTAGTAATTTGTAGAATTGATACTTGATTAAATGTTGAATTTTAGTAAAACACTTGGCTTTACTTACTGCTCTTGATAATAACAATAATTGCAATCTTGTCTTTGATGTTTGAGGTTAACCATACTAACTTCTCAGAGGTGTCGTATTTTAGTGTTATCACTCTTCACCCTAACAAAATTTCTGCTTAAATGGATGTTAGAAACTCATCAAAAGTTGGGAATGTCATGTTTTACCAGGACAGTGGAAATTTCAATTGATGGAGACCACCTGTAGCCCCCTTATGAGTATTGAGTTAAATTTACTCTTCTAGCTGACTCTCTTTGTTGGTATAGGCTTTTTTTATCACAGACATTGTCAACCTAGAGAACACGTTTACGTCAACGGAATAAAAGTGTGTAACAGGATTGAGATAGTTCATCCAGGCTGATAAATTTATTGTGCTGATGTTTGAATTTGTAAGAAGACCCGGGTTAAGGTGAAATTCTAATCATAGACGTATAAACCATTGATCTAACTCTATCAGCTGAGTAGTAAAATTGAAGTACTGGTTAATTATCAGTTTCACTTTGAAAAAAACGTTCGGTATTGTATTGGTCTGAAGTTTGCTGTACGCATCGAGTCGTTGTATAACACATGCACATATATGTGGTTGCTGATTCCCTAAAGCATGTATGGTTATTTTAAAAACAATTGAAACTGCTGTTAGGGGCGGCCAGCTTTTTTCAAAGGAGGGTAGCACTATAAAAAGTTATTTTTATCAGAAAATTAACAGTTCGGATGAAAATTTTCGTCACAATACAAACTTGTAGCGTAACAGATGGTATGTAATCATTTATGTTTCCTTTATTTTGGCAAATGGTAAATGTTCTTACACTTATTATTTATGTATATATTGATTACACAACAAATTTAAGTCTTATGAAGTGCTAACAAATAATATCTCTCATCTTAATCTTTTCTGTACCAATATTCAAGGCCACGAATATATGGAATTAAGGAATACAAATGCTGCTATACATGCTTATAAACGAGCACTTGTCTATGATAGAAATGACTACAGAGCATGGTATGGTTTAGGTCAAATGTTTGAAGCGTTGGGTTTGCCGTCATTCGCTCTCTATTATTATAGGTAAGTAACAATATCGTAGAAGTAATTTACTGGTAACATTGGTGGTACCATAGAGAAGTTATACTAATTCGTTTTCAAGTTATAAAGTTGTGTGAGTGAGCCTGAGGTCTCTCTGCTTTGTTTAATTGCACATATTTCTTGGCATCTTTATCATGCAGGCCTCTTTTATTATTATTACTCATAAAGTATGGTCGTTAATAGCTTTCTAATACTTGGCAGTGTTGAGAATTCCCTCTTGACATAAAAAGTAGTTATATAAGTACCGACATATATATATGTATGACTTCACCTCTATAATCAATATATATTAGTTCCATATTGCATAAGTTTATTAACAACCAGTGGTGTCCGTCAAGGATGTCCACCTTCCCCTTTTCTGTTTAACTTCATCGTAGATATGCTAATGGAAGTATCCTTAACTGAACTTAACGACTTAGGAATCGACTTGTTACCAGGGAATAGTCTTACGGACTTAGAATGTGCAGATGACATAGTCCTGTTAGGGGAGGACGCTGACAAAATGCAGAGTCTTCTGAACACCCTGAGCAGCAATCTTCGTATGTTTGGCATGCGATTCGCCCCTGTAAAATGTAAGATGCTGCTACAGGACTGGACTACGTCAACTCCAAGCTTAGTGATAGGGAGTGAAGTGATAGAACATGTTGACCACTTCACCTATTTGGGAAGTTGTATCAGCACCAACGGATTGATTGGTGACGAAATCTCAGCACGGATCCAAAAAGCTCGGGCTGCTTTCGCTAACTTACACCGTCTCTGGCGTAGGCGTGACATCCGGCTGTCAACCAAGGGACGTGTATACTGCTCAGCAGTTCGCTCCGTCCTTCTCTATGGTGGTGAGACGTGGCCACTGAGAGCGGAAGACATGAAAAGGTTGACTGTTTGTGATCATAGATGTCTACGATCTCTTTCTCACGTTAGGTGGTATAATAAGGTAAGTAATGTTGACATTAGGCGTAGTGTTGGGCGAAGAGGGAAAATCAATCGAAGAGGCTATGAAGTTACATAGATTGAGATGGCTAGGTCACGTGCTGCGCATGCCTAACCATCATCTCCCCCGACGGGCATTACTAGCTGATATAGGTGCAGGTTGGAAAAGAGTAAGTGGTGGCCAAACAAAAACATGGCATCAATCCATGAAATCCCTGACAGTTAAACTGAGTCAGGTAGGGAGATGCAGACTTCCGGGTTGGGGCCCTCGGGACTCTAAGAATCAATGGCTGGAGACAATAGGTGACATGTCTCAAAATCGTTGTCAATGGCGCAGATGTATTCAGTCTCTTTAACCTTCATATTCCTTTCTACCATTACTCATTCTGTTTCACTCTTATACTTGTCAAAACCCTATTGATTCTCTTCTCTCATTTTCCTGTCTACCTTTGTGTGCTATTTGGAACGTGGCAACTCGAACTGCTGCACTTCGGTGCCAAGTTCTATGTTGAACCCAGCAGCAGCAGCATAAGTTTATTTTAAATATAACTCAGCAATGCAGTATTAACAACTGGATGACGTTTCGAGCATAAATTATTGCTCATAATCATATCAATTTAGACGAAATTGCTAATATAGAAGTACTATTAAGTAAAATAAAAAAAAACTACTGCGGAACAAATCAGAGCACAATGTGCCTTGAAACTAATATATCAGAAGAAAGCAAGAAGCAACTTATCACAGAAAGAAATAGCAGCTCTGAAAAGCTTGAGAAGCGACAAAACATAGTGATTGCGAAGCCGGACTAGGGTAATGCAACAGTAGTCAGGGACAAATCAGATTACATAAACAAGGTCAGTCGACATATTGAAACAACACCATATGAGGAAGTTGAGAAACCTGTGCAGACCATTATAAATTAAATCAAAACATTTACTAGTGATCTAGTACGCCGTATGAAATCATCTTTGGGTGAGTCGAAATAGTCCAATCTTATGCCTAAAACTAATAATCCTGGTAGAATGTATGGGACTGTAAAAATTCATAAAGCAGGATACCCCATCAGGCCAATAGTTGACATTAGGTACACCCCGACGTACGAGTTATCTAAATATTTAGGATTGATATTATGCTCCATTAGAGTAGAGAGGAAATTCACTTAGAAAAAGATGAAGAAATGATTAGTATCAGCATCGCCAGGTTATTTACTAATATTCCCATTAATACAGCTCTGCAGGCAGTTATTTATTTATTTATTTAAACGCAGAAAAACTTGGTACAATATGACACCAAGAAAGATGCGCCACACAATAATAGAACAACATAGATTAAAAGTAAAAATATAGGTAGAAAACGAACAAAGAACTTCATCAGGAAGGAAAACAGTCATGTTGAACAAGTTCAAACAGTATTCGTTAACTATCATCAGGAAGGGAAGAAAGAAGGAAATTGCAACACGTTCGCCATTGATTACGATTCTTGGCCATATCCGATAACGTTTCGAGCCATCGATTCGAGCTATCTCGCGGACCCCAACCAGGGAGTCGTGACACACCAACCGATGCTGATCTAGCACAAATATCCTTCATCTCACGATGTAACATCATGGACTGACCACCCCTCCGCCTTTTCCATCCCGTCCCAGGGCTAGCGAACAGAGACCTGTACGGAAGCCTCTGGGATGACATTCGCAGCACATGTCCAAGCCACCGGAGCTGGTGTTTCCAGATGACGACACTCAATGAATGGTGATCTCCACTGTGTTCAAACACACGCCGCCGAACCTCAGAATGACTCACGCGACGATGCCATCGAACGCAAGCAATCCTGCAGAGACAGCGATGATCGAATACGCAGAGTCGCCGCACATCCTCAGCTCGGAGAGGCCAGGTTTCACAGGCCCGCACCGAAGCATTGTATACCCGACCTTTGACAGCCAGGCTAACATGGCGACGGCGCCAGAGGTGACACAAGTTGATGTATGCCACCCTAGCCTTCATTATACGGTTGGAAATCTCATCCGTCACCCCTCCGCCAGCACTCACACAACTACCCAGGTACACAAACTTATCAACAACTTCAAGCGGTTCACCCGCAAGAGTGAGTGCAGGTACAGGCTCCTGCCAATCTTGTAACAGTACTTTGCACTTAGACGGTGCAAAGCACATACCATACTTACAGACACTGATCGCCAACTGATTAAGTGCGATTTGGGCAGCTTGCATGCTATCGCACAGTAAGACGATATCGTCTGCATACTCGAGGTCGAAAAGTCTATCTCCAGGTAGCAGATCTACACCACCTTCACGCACATCCTTTAGAGCTGACTCCAGAATGTCATCGATGGCAAAGTTAAAGAGAAATGGAGAGATTGGGCAACCCTGTCTAACCCCACTGTTGGTTGGGAACAGTGGTGATAGTTGGTTGTATGTCCTCACTCTACCTGAGGTGTTTCTGTATAGGGCTTTCAAGATGTTAACAAATTTCTCAGGTACACCTCTCTCTAACAGACAGTTCCAGAGCACAGTTCTGTCCAACGAATCGAAGGCAGCCCTAATATCAAGAAATGGAATGGAGTGAACATTGGCCCTTAATTCAAAAGCAGGATTAAGCTCTCGGTTGATGAAATAATATTAGGTGTTCAGTTATGTCTAACCTCCACTGTATTCAAATTTCAGAATAAACTGTGTAAACAAACGAATAGGGTGGCAATGGGATCACCAATGTCCTCCAAAGTGGCAGACTTATTTATGGACAGATGAGAACATATGGTTGTTAGAACGTCTAATCCTGCTCTTGGGTTATGGTGGAGATATGTGGATGACTCATTCATCGTGTTGAAATCTGAACATATCCCTCAATTTCTCACACATAGACTCAACAGTAGACGGAATCCAATTCACTTCTGAGTTAGGGAATGAACAGGGTGAGTAAGCCAAGCTAGACTGTATAATAAAACGAAAACAAGATGGTGAGTTAGATACTAGCATGTATAGGAAACCGACACACTCTAATATATGCTTAGACTTTAACTCATCCCATCCAGAATCGGTAAGATAGGTTTGGTTAAATGTGTTTATAATCGGGCCAAGAGTCTAACTAGTAGGCCAGAAGATTTAAATAACGGAATCAAATAAATACAGAAAATATTTTTAGTGAATGACTACCCACAAGAATTTATTCAGAAATATATGAAGAACCATGGATAATATAGAATTCAAAGCCTCTGTAGCACTGTCGTATAAAGAGGGGACGTCAGAGACCTTACGTAGAATTCTTAATGGCGCTGGAATTAGGGTGACATTTAAACCGAACAACTCTCTCAGAGATAAACTTTGTAAGACCTAAAGACTAAATAGATGCAATTAGGAAAATGATATAATTTACCAAATACCTTTTTTAATTGACGCGGGTTCGAATCTCAGAAGGGACATCAGTTCCTTCAAGGTTGCAGAACTGCACCGAAGATAGGATTAGACACATTACTCTAGTTACTGACTAGTGTGCAATCAAAAATATCCAACACAGTCCTACAGGAGGTCAGTCGCGAGCCTGAATAGCTCAGTGGTAACGTCTCTGACTGCAGCACTGGGTGACGCGGGTTCAAATCTCAGAAGGGAGATCAGTTCCTTCAAGGTTGCAGATACGCCTTGCTGATGAGTGCCAACTAGCACGAAACCTAGGTCGAAGGCTTCCTGCCGATTGCATCCAACCATCTAATTACCAAATACCATATGATGACTGTAAAGTCAGCTACAACAGTCAAACCAGTAGATCAGGGGCAACTAGACTATTGGAGGATAAAAATTTGGCTAGACCTAGAATAATTGACCCTGCTAAGTCCAATAACCTAGGAGGAATGGAGCTCAGCTATTGCACTGCATTCACTTGTATGTAATCACGAAACAGGGTGGACAGGGTGAGAGTAGTAGAAAGTAATGTAGTTTGTTGGAGACAGAGGCTAATCACTGAAGCTTTGTTTATCGATTCAATACCGCACACGTGCAATCGGAATGACACAACTCCCATACCGGAGATATGGAAAGTGGCAAAAAAATACAAAGGGAAGTTGGAGAGACAGAAAAAGAGACTGTATATATATATATATATATATATATATATATATATATATATATATATAAGACGAATTGTGAAAACATGTGACTAAATTATTATCATTATGATCAATAAATTGTGCTCGAAACGTCATCCAGTTGTTAATACTGCCTCACTGTGTGGTTATCAAAATAAACTTTTCTAATATAGGATATACCAGTGATTTTTAAATTTGTCATTTTTCTTTCCCACTAGTAATACACTACTTGGTTTTAAAGAAACACAGATTTCCGAAGAGTATCATTTTTGATGGGGTTCTTATAAAATTCCTGTTTAAATGTATATCAGGTTGTTATTTCCAATGAATATGTTCTTGCACAGCCTCTGTAGTCAGGATCATTGTCCAAACACAGTCAAGCAAAATTTGATATAACAGCAAGAATGATGAGCAGTAAAAAGTGAATGTAATTCTAAAGGCTCTTAGTGATAACGTAATTAATCTCGTAGTAAATTCTCTGATTACGACACTGATAAAAGTACATTGAAATCTGAAGTAAACATCAGTTTCATTTGGATTATAGATATGCATGTGTGTCGAATGCTGACATACATGATACCTCTCTCTCTCTCTCTCCAACTTGTAATGATGAAAGTCAAATCAGTAAATTGAGATTATTTTTGATAATACCTTTCGAAATCATTGATTAACATGTGGAGAGAGATATCAAGATTTGAATGAAAAGTGAGTTGCATAAGTTTTAGAAAGATCTAGGCCACAACATTGTTCAAACTGTTATTGTCTTCAGCTAGCCATAGAATCACTTTTTACCCAGCCGACGCTTGAAACCTGTAAGCTGATAACGAATTATGTATACACACATAAAGATGGCGTCATCTAACATAATCACACTTCTTTATGAAAGTATCTACACAAAAAGTCGTCAGAAATCTCAGTAATCCGAATTCCAATTTCTATGAACATAAGAGTTTGAATATCACTCATTGATTTTACCAAGGACACACAACTTCAATTCAACAGGATTTCATGTAATACTGATTCAAAGGAAATGGAAAATCACTTCGGTCATATTAATTACAGACACTATTTGGCATAGAAAAGTTCACTGTATGTAAACAACAAACACATGTCGTTCCAGCATCTGTGGGACGCATACTTTTCGAGAAACTGCATAATCTCTCACATCCCGGAGCCAGTGCCACTGCCAAATTGCTGATGGGAAGATTTATATAGCCAAGCATAAACAGTGATGCTAAGAAGTGGATGCGAAATTTTTTATCTTGTCAAAATTCATCGTCACACCAATGCACCGTGTGGTCGTTTCCCTAACTCCAATTCAAGATTTGACCACATACGTATAGATATTATTGGTCCACTGCCTCCCTCCAATGGTTTCAGCTACATTTTCACTTGCGTCGATGGATTCACTCGTTGGCCAGTAGCAATTCCACTAGCAGACGCATCCGCCGAAACAGTTTCTAAAGCTCTGGTCAAAAACTGGATAGAAAACTTTGGTCTTCCGTCCATTATTACTACAGACAGAGGTGCCCAGTTCAAAAGCCGTCTTTATCAACATTATTGGGAATTAAATGAATACGAACGACCTCGTATCACCTTATTTCAAATGGGATGGTTGAGCTGTTTCATCGGTAACTTAAGACTGCACTTGCCCGCCTCTCTGACCAAAATGACTGGTCCACCAAACTCCCACTGGTACTACTTGGTATATGAGAAACTTTAAAGGAAGACATCGGATGCTGCATTTTTGAATAAATTCTGGTTGGTAGTTTGGTTTCGTCTATGCATAACAGACGGTAAATTGAAGCCAAAGATTGGATTGAGGAGATTATTTCAATCCGATTGTATGAAATTTGTGAACAGTTTGCTTGTCAATACACAATGCTCCTAAATGGTAGCAATCAAATAGGAACAAAGACTCAGTATTTACCAATCTACATTGTTTGGTTCATCAGTGTGATTTCGGAATGTCTGTTAAAGAAAGTCAACTGTATAGGGATTTCCTTCATTTAAAAATGGTATGTTATTAGAAGGGTACTGATATTCTGTTATTTGCATGTAAAGAGGCTATCGAGAGAAAGTCTTGATCATATGAGTACAGTTTCTAGTGTCGTGTATCGTAAAATATTTAAATCTCATTCACTTTTTATACTTGTTTGTGAGTATTCATAAAGGGATTGACATGATAAACAATGATTGGTTTTCACATACATGTATCATATAAAATTACAAATTCATATTTATATTGAACATTTAACTAACTTCCGTGTATGTTTCTTTTTTTATTTATTCTTCTAGAGAAGCACAATATCTGGTGCCTACAGATTCACGTTTAATTGTAGCATTAGGTGAAATTTACGAGAAGCTGAACCGTTTAGATGAAGCGAAGAAATGCTATTGGCGAGCATATTGTGTTGGTGATATAGAAGGTGGGGCGCTTATTCGACTAGCTGCGTGTTTTGAGAAATGTTGTGAAGATGCTGAGGCTGCAGCAGCATACACTGAATTTATCAAACTTGGCCACCGCTATGGAGTAAGCTTTATTCCAGTATTATTTCAGCATACATTTTGCTAAGTTCATTGATTATTGTCATAAAATAATTTACTAAATGCGATTTTCGATGATAATTATCTTAAGATTAGAACATTAATTTTAATAGCTCAATTACCCGGGATATGTACCGGACTAAGAGGCACACTTATTGTGTGAGGACTGATGATACTACCAAGTTGTCCATATTGAAGTAGATGGAGCGTGAGGAAGGTGTAGACTTCCTGGTCGGGGTCCTCAGGACGGTAAACACCAATTGCTGGGGACAATTAGTGATATAGTTCAAAATCGTTCTCAATGGCTCAGATGCATCCACCCCTTGTGACTTATAGTACCTCAATAAAACTATATTGCTCTTTGATATTACTATTCTTTTTGCCTCATATCTCTGTTTACTGTCTCTATTTTGCGCTTCTTTTTACTTTCTTCTCTTGCTTTGTGTGCTGAGTGAAGTGTGACGACTGGAACTGCTGCACATCGGTGCAAAGTTCTGTGTTGAAACCAGTCAGTTAGAAACGGGAGTCAAACGCGTAACCCATACACTGAAAACCGAGTGCTTAAGTCAAATGAACCTTTGTAATTAATCCATAAAACGTTAATACTAGGCATAGAGACCGAAAACATTGCACATTTGTCTGAATAACATAATGCGAATTTATGTTCTAACTGGATCCAAGCTTTTGGATTATTTTAGTTCAGCCTGCTTCTGACTATTCTTGATAAAGCAGTGTTGAAGGATGCTTTTCGGATATCTTCAAACCTATTTAATAATTATTTTATTATTTATTTAAACACAAAAACTTGGTACAATATGGCACCAAGAAAGATGTGCCACACAATAATAATAGAACAACATAGATTAAAAGTAAAAATATAAATAGAAAACGGAGAAAGAACCACATTTGGAAGGAAAGCAGTCATATTTAACAAGTTTCAAACATCATCCGTCAATTATCGTCGGAGAGGGAAGAAAGAAGGAAATTGCAGCACGTTCGCCACTGATTACGATTCTTGCCCATATCCGATAATGTTTCGAACCATCGATTAGAGCTATCTTCCGGACTCCACCCAGGGGGTTGTGACGTACCAACCGATGCTAAACTAACACAAATATCCTTCATCCCACGATGTAACACCATGGGCTGACCAACTCTCTGCTATTCCCATCCCGTCCCAGGACTAGTGAACTGAGACCTGTACGGAAGCCTCTGGGATGACATTCGCAGCACATGTACAAGCCACCGAAGCTGTTTAATAATAAAATGTAATGTAATTACAGTGTTTTTTTAACTTCATCATCTGACCTTAGTAACTGATTCTTTTTGGAGTAATTAACAGATTTTATAGGGATAGTGATCAGCGCGTTGTTATTTGTTTATTATTTCGTATTATGATAAAGTTTAATGGTAATAATACTCCTGACTGATTTGAAGAAAAGAGAGTTAAGATGTCAAATTGATTTTGTAATTAGTGAACTTCTTTGTGTCTTACTTTATTGATGATTTGAGAGACTGACCTGCAGAAAAAGACTAAAGGCTAAGATAATATTGTATTGTAACATGCTCGAGAGGTGATTTGGCAACTGCTCCGCTACTACGGGGTGCTGCCAACAATTATACACCTCATCCAACAGTTGCATGACAATGCTGCATGCCATGTAATTCACAACGGGAAACTGACGGAATCCTTCGAAGTGAAGACTGGAGTCAGACAAGACTGCCTACTATCTCCAGTGATATTCCTGATTGCAGTAGACTGGATAATGCGACAGACAGCGGGCAGCGAGGAAACAGGCATAAAATGGACCCACACGAAAAACTTGGAGGATCTGGACTTCGCCGATGATATTTGTCTGATTCCCCACAAACTGGAAGATATGCGAGTGAAAAGTAACAAGTTGGCAGAAGAAGCAACGAGAGAAGGTAGGATTTCAGGCGGACATAGAGAAAACAGAGGTGGTGAAGATTCCTGGCCAACAGCAACATCAACAACAACTGACAACAATCAGCATAAATGGGAGGAAGCTGTCTGGGAAGCATCGTTTCAGCTATGGGTGGAACTGACGAGGATATCAAAGCAAGGATCGGGAAAGAAAGGTAAGCTTTCATTTCTCTCAAGTGTATCTGGAGATCAACAGCATTCAGAGTGAAAAATAAGATCCAGACTTTCAACTCCAATATGAAGTCAGTGCTTCTATACAGACCAGAGACTTGGCGCGGCGTCACGAAGGATATTTTGAACAAACTACAGACTTTCATCAACAGCTGTCTTCGCTCAGTACCACTCAAGATCAGATGGCCAGAAAAGACTGGCAAAAGGGATCTTTGGAGATGAGCGAACCAACTCAGCAGGAACCGATTGTGCAACAAATGATCAGGAAGAAGTGAAGGTGGATTGGATTGGCCATACATTGAGAAAACAAACCACCAAGTGACATCACACGACAGACTCTCAAGTGGAATTCGAATGAGAATCGGCGAGTTGGTCATCAGTCCTAGGGTGACATGGAGGAGGTGATGTGAAGAGGAGATGAAGGCATGTGGGCAGACGTGGAGCCAGGTGAAAACGTTGGCAGAGAACCGAACGCAGTGGAGACGTGCGGCTGAAGCCCTATGTTCCTCTAGGAACTAAAGGAAACAATAATAATAATTGTAACATGCTGCATGTTGTAACATGTTTTTAGTGACTTATGATGAATTACATGGACGAATATTCTGTGTTTTATTTTGAAAATAATGAGTATTGAAATACAGGTACACAATACGTTCCCCTGATAATCTTCTATAAAGCAGAAAGAAGATTTACAGTATACAATATGTGAATATTTTATTTTGAGATTTCCATTCAGCTGCAGATAGGTCAAATCACATATAGGATTAATTAAATGGAAACCTTTTTTTGCCTATTGAACAGAACTAGATATAGACACCGAAGACTGACAACATGGTGACGAGTGAGATGATGTTATAATGGTTACATTTGACACACAAATAAACTAACTATTTGTAAACTGTTTGGAAGAAGGTTTAGGAAGTTATTTCAAAACATTTCTATTGTTACTTTTCTAACAACTGGTTCACTAACTAACTTTAAACTAACTTCCAGTAAAAAATCGCCTAACAACTTACAAGAAACATTGAGGGATGAGTTAATGTTAAACAGGTGGACGAATATCGTTTAGTCAAAAAAATATTCGAAGCAAAACAAAATACTACACTATTACGCAATATGTGTTACTGGAGTGGGGGTTGCGAGACTAATCCCCATTTTGTTTTTCTGTATACAAAGACTAAAGTGAATTCTCGTTTGTTAGTAATCACTATGGGTATACCAGTTGCCCCATTCAATTATCAATAGGCACAAGATTTCCAACTTCGTTTCACTTAAATGATCACCAAAGTGATCAATGCACAAAAGAAACCCAACCTCCTACGTTAAGCGGAAATAGTCTTCATCCAATGATTGAAACCAAATGCATTTATACAAAAGTAGATAGTTGTTAAGCTCTTATTACCCTTGTAACTATTATTACTATAATGCATAAGAAGTTCTGCAATTTTTATTACGTCATCTAGTTTTCTGTATCTTTTGTTCTGTTTTAAATTAATTTTTCAATTAGAATTCATTCTTCTTCATACTCTTACGTAATATGTTTTACTAACAAACTGTTTTAGTTGAATATTGTATCTATTCATATTTTGAACTCACCTCTTTTTAAGAATATTGGTTGAATTATTCAAAAAATAGTCAGCTCTCTTAAAACTAAGTAAAATATCATCCAATCTAATTTTTCGGATAATTCATTACTTTTGTTTATCAGTTATTTTTATCAAAATCGCAGCGACCTTCATGCAGATATTGCGAAGCAACTTATATAGATAAACCCTGATCATGATTTGACCCAGTAGTAATTCTAAAACCAGGCGTTAAATGAAAAGAAAACATGTAAAAATTATATTTGTGTAACAAATGCCCTCGCTCGATACTAAAGATCAGATGGCCAGAAAAGATACGCAACAGGGAACTGTGTAAACGAACAAACCAAAAACATATTGTCCAACAAATATACCGAAAGGAATGTAAATGAATCGAACACACGCTGGGGAGACAGTTGAGTGTAATCACTCTCCAGATCCCCGAGTGGGAATCAAGTGGGAGTTGGAGAGTTGGGTGTGCGAGGGTGACATGGAAGAGGTCGTGTAGGGAGGAGATGACAGCTTATGGGTGATTGATTATCTAGCCGTCTAAAAGGAATTGCAGAGAACATGATGATGTGCTGCAGAAGCCCTATATTCCACTCATAACTCAAGAGAATAATCATATTGCTGAAAACCATCAGCATTGAAGTAAATAATCCCAGCGCTTCGTTCGGCAAACTGGTTCGATTTCTTGAGGATAATATCAAGATGCATAGTTTCCAATTACCGCCAAGTTCATTCCCAAATATTACAGTCTTCATATATATATCCGATAGATATTTATCAGCGTTTAAGACATGAGGATTATTTAACGTATTATCACGAGACCAGTTCACTTTTTATTTGGATTTTATGCATGCTTTAATTAATATATCCTTTTCCTGTGATGCTTCTATGTTTGTTTTGATTATATAACCAATTATTCCTTTTACTCATAATTCATTTTTTCTTGAATAGGTACAAAAACAATCAGATTTAGCTGCAGCCTATAAACATATAGCAAATTATCATTTACGCAGAGGAAATTATACAGATTCTGTCTTGGCAGCAAACAGATGCCTTGATTATCCTGAAACTCATGAAGAAGCTAAAGCTATGTTACGTCAAATTACAGTGTTAGCTGGTGACATTGAGCAGCTTGCTCCATCAGAGCCTGCAAACACCGACTCCCAAATTGAAAAGAATAAATCTGGTCTAATTGAAGAGATGGGCAAAAGTACGTTGTTAATTGACAAACAATTATTGATAATTGAATATCATGGATCAAGTGTTAATTAAACAAATTGGCAAATAGATGTAGAGTACTTACAAAACTTGTCTTAATGGCTCAAAAAAAAAGAAAAAATAATGTAATATATTTGAAACGTGTTTGTAATGTGACGGATAGCTAGTTTGAGTATATAATGTTAGTTGTTTGATAACAGCTGACAATGGAATGCAGAATTTGCGTTTTGTCAATTGGAAGTACCTGTATCGTGGTGTTTAATGCTTTCATTTACCAAAATTAACATCCAGTTACTACGTGTAATTATAAACTTGGGGTTGAAAGACGAAAAATCATGAAAAGGATTCGTGCCAACTGTATTTCTTAAACGAAAAATAATATTGCATCTTATTTCCACTACATTTTTCATATTAATATCCATCATTATTGCCATTTTAGATCGGAAGATTTAGACTTATGATATCTGTCTACCTTCATTTTATTTTAAGGTACCAAGTTGAACAATGTAGCAGTCTCTTTTTAAAAGCTTACGTTTTGTCTTTCTTTTATACTAACTGAAACTTACCTAAGTCCTTTGAATTTTGTGTAATTTTCTTGTTCTTTTCTAAAAAATTTAGTTACAGATGCACAAACATCAAGGAAGCCTGGTGGATTGGAAACGTATCTAAAACAGACTATGAAGTCAACAGTCAGTGAAATGCAGGTTTGGCTTAATATTTATTATAGAAATGCACCATTTGACATTATTACTTGTTATTTGTTTGGAGGAATTTATAATATCGTTAATGTTTTTTTCTCTTCGGTAAATGTTCATTTGTTTGTCAGAATTTCTTTAAATATTAGGTAAGAGAACAACATAAAGAGTGTCATTTCCATGCTCCATTTAGTTTTCTTGGATGAATGTATCTTCGTGTGTGTAACACTGAGAAACTTAGCTGTCAAATTCCAGAAATAATTGTCTTCTTTTTTTTAAACACTCTTAATATTCCTCGTGGAATTTGTCTATCAAACTTCGAAAACTGTTATCTTTGTCTCAAAAATCGATATGGTTTTCACAGTCAGTTTCATATAACGTTTTAGAAATCTCCTTTAATATATATCGCTAAATGGAATGAGTCATGGTTACTTGTTGTCTTATTTAAAATTGTGAGTATACCAAGACATGATTTAGTTTTAATGAAAGGGCATCATGGCATCGTGATTCTAAGACCATTACATTCCACCTTGAACTAATCAACTGTTTATCATAAACTACCAGTCATTAAGTGTAGTTCATCATTTGAAGGCCTCTGAATTGAATCGTTCTTTGTCTAAACTGATGATACTGTCAACTTTCAGTAAATGCAACAGATTTAAAATTTGTTACAGGATTTCGTTATGAGCTGACATTGGTTAGAGAACCACTAGAAAACCTGCGAGTACTGGACAGCTGTCTCGTCCTAGTGTGGGACTCTTCACAGCATGCATTCAACGCCAAGGTTCGAACCCAGGACCTTCTGGTTACAAAGCGAGCTCGCAGACAATCAAGCCACTGGGACCCAATCCAATGGTCCATGAACTCCAACTTCTGCCAATTCACGATATAGCGCGACCACTAGCAAAATGTCTTCGGCCTGGCCTACTGTACATTACGGGTAACAACTTCCCACTAGAACCTCAGGTAACTACCTACCTATATAGGACCAGCCTTTAATGAGCATCTCATTGATATTCAGTGGTGTTGTTTGTGCTAATGGACTACTAATAAAGATGCCAATTAACTTTTGATGAGAGAAATACTTTTTTCAGTTTGTGAAACATTTTGTAAAAAGAATATATAATCCTTGGAAATAAAAATTTAATCAGTTAGAAGAGTTTGTTTCATAAGCTTGTTGTTATAGTTGCTGTATTTCCTAATTCATCTTTTTGTATACTTTCAGCCTTTAAGTCTTTCACTAAGTCATGCTCTAACCTCTTTCAATGAGTCAACAGTGCTACGAAGAAGATTTTATCTACGCAAAAATACGCCATTGTCATCATCATCATCACCAGCAGCAGCAGCTACATCGCTACCTGTTCGTTCAAGTCATTTAGTTGCAAACATATTGACTGATAGTATTGTTGCTGACGTTGATACTAATGGTGGTGTTGGCATTCAAAGTATTAATTCAATTGATCCGTCAGTGACCGAGCCTGTGAACACTGTAACCACATCTGTACATTATTCTAATTCAACATTACCATGTGATACTGTATCATTTGACCGTACAGCCAGTGAAACAATAATTGACAATGTAACTACTACTGGACATCGTTCGTATACACCACCGATTACGAATAACAGAACTTCTGTTGCTGTCACAAGTATAGATAATCAGCATAATATGCAATCTAATATAATGTCATTTCAGGAAGATGAATCAATGCGGCTTAGTGACGAAGAATCCTAGAACATCATTATGATAATCATCATCATTGATTTGTATTGTAAATTAATGTTTACTTATTTACTTATTGTATTCATAATTTCATGTTAACTTGTGTAAAGATACTAATTTCTTGGCAAGAATGTCTTCTTTTCTTATTTGTCTCATTGAATGTTCGTTTGATGTGATGATTTTTAAAAAAATGTGGAAAAATTTGTTACTACTGAGGTATTCTGTACCAATTTTTTCGACTTAGTTAATAGACTATGGGATGAAACAAGTTTTTGTCTTGCATTATATTTCTTCATACTGCGTTTTATTTTTGATGATGATAATAATAATCGTACTAACAATAGTGCAAGCTGGCAGAATACAACTAATTATTCATTATGACTTCAAACATTCCCTGTAACTGTTAGATAATCATTGTGTGATTGGCCACAAAAATGATTGACATTTAGCATTTTGTTAACAGTGGACGGTTTCTATCCTGTATTCATAGTACTGTGCACAATGATAATTTTGACTGACTGACTGGTTTCAACGTAGAACTTTGTACAAATGTGCAGCAGCTCGAGTTACCATTGTGCACGTAGCACACAAAGCAAGACATCAGAGAAAAAAGAGATTCAAAGCAGAGATAATAAGCGATGGTTAAGCATGCGTAACACACGTTCTAACCATTTCAATCGGTTGACCTTCGCAACCTCATCGACTGACTTGCTCTCCTTACCTAACACTCGATGCTCAACCTCAATATTACTCAACATATTACACAACCTGACATGGGAGATAGAATGCAGATACCCATGACATGATCAAAGACAGCTAGTCGGCCTCTTTCTGTCTTCTGCTTTTGGCGTCCACGTCTCACAGCCACAAAGGAGGGCAAGGTGAACTACTGAGCAGTACACATGTCCTTTGGTCGACAGCCGGATATCACTTAATCGGCAGAGATGGTGTGGATTGGAAAGTGCCAAACGAGCCTTCTGTATCCGTACGGAAATTTAGTCATTAACCAGTCTATTAGGGCTGATACAACTTCCCAATCGTGAAGTGAGGTGGTCAATACCCCCAACAACTTCACTCCCTATCTTTAAACTAGGAGTCAGTGCAATACAGTCCTGCAGAATCATTTTACATTTGACTGGAGAGAATCGCACGTTAAATATTTGAAGATTTTTGTTCAAGGTGTTCAGAAATCACTAAAATTTGTTAAAATATCATCCGAATACTCCCAGTCGACGGGTCTGTCTCCTGGTAGCAAGTTACTAAAGTTTATTACGTTATACTGATTCATGCATCTATGATGTAATTAAAAAGAACCGGGACAGTGGGGATCCTTGATGTATACCATTGGTTGTCATCGTAGACTGTCACCTGGTTGACTGCATGAGTTCGAGTAGAGTGAGTGCCTTGATGAGTGCGATGTATTTTCTTGGCATTCCCTTCACAGCCAAGTACCGCCACGGCACCTCTTGGTCGACAGAATCGAGTGACGCTTTCAGGTCTAGAAATATGATGACTGTTGGACGCTGGCAAGTATGCCTATGTTTGAGAATCTGTCGAAGAGTGAAGATGTGATCAATACACCCTCTTCCTGGTCTAAAGCCTGCTTAGTTCTTTCGTGTTTGTTTCTCCCGAGCACCGTTCAGTCTAGACACATGATTATTGAGCCTAGAACTTCAGATACCATATTGGTCAAGCTAATCCCCCTCCTCCGTGATTATCGCAGGAAGATTTATCTCCCTTCTTTTGTATTGTTATAACCAATAACTTACTCCTCTGATACTCAGACGCTGCCTAATGCCTTAGTGAACTCAGACAGCAAATTATCTCCACCGTCCATAAACACCTCTGGCGTAGCTTCATCAGGTCCCGCTGTTTTGCTTCGTTTCAGACTGGAGACAGCTTTTGTAAATTCACTTAGGGACGAAGGACAGATGTGTATATCTCATTCAGGGAGGTGTTGGATTCTGGGTAAGTTTGACTGTGGGGTGGTTAAATTGCTCGTCAAATCGCTCTTTCGAAGGTTCCAGTCGTCTATTCTGAGGGCTAATTTTGATGCCACTTTTATCGGAAATTGTCCGACTTATCTTTTGCCACCTATGCGCCTGATAAGCCCAAATTGTTGTCTGGTGTTACATATCGCCGATGCCTTTTCCATCTCTTTGTCTTTTGATGCCTACCACTGTTTACAGTTGTTGCGAAGACTTCTTGTCAGTTAGCGTTTGATCAGCTTTCGTCCCTCATCATATTCGGAGCTCTTGGGAGTTAGTCTTCTTGCTTCTGTCATTTCGGATGAGGCGATTGAAATCCACTAGCTTTTACTAACTTTTGGTTTTATCTTACTAACAGCCTTTAGCTGTTTATTTTGGGCATAATAAATCGTTCAGTACTATTCATTCTGTCCTAATTTCTGTATACTTGCAAACATCAGTATTAGAATTGACTTATTTCTTGATAACAAGCAGAATGTATTTACTGTTTCATTTCGTATTCACAAAAACGTTCTACCTGCTTTTTAAACTTAAGTAGTGTTTTTGTGTTCAGAGAAATAATTTGTTAGTTTTCACGGTTATGTCACTGTTTTATTTAAAGGTTTATTTCTTCTTAAAATCAGGGGCATCATGGATACGTTGTTTACAACTTTGGTTGCTAATAACGCAAACCATATTACCAAGCATGATTTATCGGTTGCAGTGTCAGATATGTCACAAATTGTGGTCTGGATATTATAAAATCCTAGATGAAATCACTATGAATCTCCACACTGGATGGCGTGATTTTCAGATGATGAATGTGATTCTATTCATAACAGGGTCACCCATGTAGTTAGCCAGAATTTGGATGATTTGAACCAACTCAACCTTTGAGTTAAACGTGATCACGCCTACTTCTTTTAGAGTCTGCATAGGAGATCTGCGAAGTAAGGTAAGGTGGGGAAATCAATAGACGAGACTGTGAAATTACATCGACTGAGATGGTGAGGACATGTGCTACGTATGCCTAGTCATCGCCTTCCTCGACGGGCAATTTTAGCTGATATAGGGCCAGGCTGGAAAGGAGCTAGCGGCGGTCAAACGAAAAGATGGCACCAGTCAATGAAATCCACAACAGTTTAAGCCACGTAGGAAGGTGTAGACTTCCTGGTTGGGGTCCTCGGGATGGTAAAAACCAATGGTTGGAAACAATTGGTGACATGGCTGAAAATCGTTCTCAGTGGCGCAGATGCATCCACTCCTTGTGACTTATGATTTCCAATTAAACTGTTTTGTTCTCCGTTATTACTATTCCTTTGTCTCACACCTCTGTTTAATGTCTATACTATGCATTTCTCCTACTTTCTTCTCTTGCTTTGTGTGCTACATGGATTGTGGCAACTTGAACTGCCACACATATGTGCAAAGTTCTATGTCGAAAACCGACCGACCGATCTGCGAAGTTTCCTTCGCTGTAACGTAATTTTTTGGATTTCCAGCTTATCCCATGAGTCCTTATTACTATAGTTGAATCATATTTTCTTCTGAAATTAATTTATTGCCCACCTTCGTAATCATGTATTCTCTTTGCTTCAGATAACGTTAACCAGTTGATTGGAAAATGAATAATCGTTCAAGTTTGAAATGCATTCCATTTAAATTGTCTCGAGTACGATTTGTCAGTGAACGAGAAGCACAGAATTATCAATTGATTGTTACTGGTAGTTGGTTTGAAGAGGTAAGGTAGTTTCACGGTTATTCTATCAATTATTCAAAAAATATCTAAGTATTGTGTATTGTTGTACATGCTTGTAAGTTGACAAAGATTGAGTTGTTAACTGTTACTTCTTTATTTGGAAAATCTGCCAGTTTACTGAATTTCTTTTTAATCTTATTAGATAGATGGATGAAAGTACTAAACAGTATTTATCTCAGGGATTTAAAATTGATGTTATTCAGTACAGTTTTGTCAAGATTAGACAGCAGCTATAGAACTGATAAAAAGTCATAAAGAAGTAGGTCGGCTTTTACCCGCTAATTAGCGCCTTTTCTCTCACAATTTTGTGTGCTCTCATATAATTCTTCTCTTCTTCGTGCTAATCATTTGTTTCACTATGTGATGATTTGAGTTAACACACTTTTTTGCAAGTATTTACGTTAACTGTCCTTGTTGATTTAGCTTGTGTGTATTACTAATCGCTACTGGAGATGAACATCAGTCCGTAATTTGTGCCGAAAATAATGTACAGCTGTTCAAAGTATTGGTTATTTCCAGTTGTACTATTTTTAAAAATTCTATTTCCTTACTTTCCGAGTAGAACATAGGCCTTCAAGCTAGAGCTTTGCAGTTTCAGTAGCAGTGGTGTTTATTTTTACGGAATGGGGTTGCTAGCCTCATGCCCCAACCTTCCGTCTTTACCGGCCTGACTGCTGGCTTATTTGAGGTTTAGGAGTGCATCAGTGGGGGATCAAACCTAGGACTAATTTCGTGGTTGATGAACATTCTGTATGGCCTTATATATGACTGAAAGGGCAGTGATTTTAAACTGTCGATGATTAGGGTAGAGTCAAAAAAGTTCTGGCTACTGTTCTTTATTAAGTGAATAGAACGGTTGGTTTAGGTTGTGTGAGATCATTTTATTTTAGAGTAAAATACTCTTCAACGTGAATAGTGAACTGAAAAAAAGGCAATTGGTCATTTGAATATAGTTCAACAGATCATTTTTATTCTAGACTTTTTCACAGAAATACTTTGTAGTCTCAATGGAAGGTGTAACCAAGAAAGGAGGAAATTAGTGATCCTAAACTATAGCAGTTTAAAAAGAAACTACCCGGTGAACGGATTAACAACCTTGAGTAGCCATTCAGATGATTCTGTAGTAGATAAACGCAGTTACGGATGCTGTACACGAATTACGTAGCGAATTCCATCCAGATCTGGTATTTAAGTACTGTTTGGGTAACTGGCTCATAGGAAGGGAAAAAAAGTGGGTTTTTGGGTCACATGTCACCACCCTCCGGAAGTGATATATCCAGACAACCTCTGATTGTAGTGCCAATGTTTCATTGCCCTCTATCCAACGTTTAGTTCTACCTGCCACAATCATTCACACAGACCAGTGGAGTAGCTACAGCCAACTGTCATCCCTGGGTTAAATTCACAAAATGGTCAATCACACAGTGGCACAGTGGTTAGGACTCTCGCCGACCATGCACATGGTCCGGGGTTCGATCCCCTGCCGGCGCACACCCGATATCTATGGTATGCCTGAATTTGGGCAACCGATATCCATGCTGAAAATTCCATACTTGTACTGAAAATACGGTGTGGAATCAAGCTGTAAATCAAATAAAAAAAAAAAAAAAATATTAATCCTTTCCATGAGATTCATTCAAATTCCATCGAAAGTTTGTGGAGTCACCTAGAAAAGAAAATTAGAGAGGTGAATAGGTCAAGAAACACTATGATTTACAGTTATCTCGACGAATTTATGTACAGAAATTGGTTCAACCTAACTATGCGTACTCCTATGAGAAATTGGGAGGCATTCTTGTAACATATATACAAGAACCTTACCCTATGTAATTATTTTTCAACATTGCATTACTTTTACATAAACATTTTCTTTCAAATTATGCACTTTTACTTCGGACGCATCTGATTAGTTGATAGAGATTTCGCCAAGGTCCTTATTACGAAGTTTCGTTTTGGGCTGCCATAATTTAGTGTAACCAGAAATTGAATTGACGAAGTAGAGTAAGGAGTTGGAGTTCTTTTATCCCATATTATCTGTCTGTCTATATGAAAATGCGCCTCGTTATCTTCAGTCCCCTACTTTCATCCAATAAGTCCTTGGTTGTAATCACACTTGTGTTCAACATGGACACCTAGATAGTCTGATTAGACATCAACTAGTGTCATGCATCTAGTCCTTTATTTGCTGCAGGTTTAAGGTTTACTTCGGATTACCTCCAACCATTCAATAACATCTAGACAGTATCATATTTAGAGACCTACAAAATTAAGTTGATTTATAGTCAGTTAGATATTTTGCATTATTCTTCTTCTTTATTGTCTATTCAATTGTTTTACTTCTATTCATTGTTTACTTCAACATGTTGATTTTTTGAATTAAGGTTAATCGTATATGTTTATGGCAATACGGTATCGGCTCAGATATCGACAGTGGAAATATTCAGCCAATATCAGAGAATGAAGATTGTACTTATGCTGGTGTAAAAGGTGACTGTGTTGATGATCCGCGTCTTTTGTGCTCCCTTATACACAAGGGTTCTATTCAAGAACTTAAGGTTTGTTTTATGCTAAGTGATTATTATTATTATTATTAGTTTGCAAAAGAAGACTTTCCTTTTCATTATTATCGTTGCGTTGATGAATACGTCGTTGTGAAATGTGTACACGTTATAAAATGTAGCTGTTTTGTTTTTAAAAATTGATGATTAACTTTTATAGTCAATTAGGTACTGAAGAAATCTTAAGTAGCTAAAGGTCACAGTCCGTTTGGCAGCACATTTTATTAAGCCTAACAAAACATTCATCTTTTTTGTTTTCATTGACAAATGTGTTACTTATCTGGTTATCTTCACTGTTAAACAGTTGTATATTTTTCAGTAGAAGTTAGCAACAAACTGTTAGACTACAGTAAAAATACAGAATTTTGAGGGATAGGAGGAATGAAAATGACTACAGAATTCAAGATCCATATTAGATAAGTTTATTTTAAATATCGCACAGTGATGCAGTATTAACAATTGAGTTGATATGAGCAATGAAAGTTGTGCTCGAAACGTCATCCAGTTGTTAATACTGCATTGCTGTGTGATATTTAAAAATAAACTTATCTAATATGGAATTACATTCTACCACAGTGGCCAAGTTCTACACTTACATTAAGAATTCAAGGTCATTTTATTCGTATGCATTAGCGATAAGTTGTTACGTAATCAACGGCTTGTAAAGTGATCACTAAGAAGAATAGATACATGAATTACGTAAAAATACAGTCTTACAAATGAGCTCCCTTGTGTTCGTAATTATCATTTGATTTTGTCATTGTATTATGATTACTAATCTAGCTAATTCAATTAACCTTGGTATTCATATAGAATTCATTTATATATTCTTTTAGTCACCATTATTGAACAAGTTGTTGATTGCGTGATAACTTGTTGCTAACCCTTGCGAACCCATAACTATTTTCCCCCTTTCTACCCATCAAAATTCTATGTTTTAATCAAAGTCACAAAAATATTTTAAATGAACTTTTTTATGACTTTTAAGAGGTCTATACCTGCGTCTCTGCAATACCCTAATAAATGATACAAATGCAAACATGTATTTGAGATTTTCTCGTGAAATTTAAATTCCTTCAGTTTATTTAGGCTTCATACTAGTTCTTTATGTAAACCAAGACAGAGATGCAGTTATTTCAGATGTTGTGGTTGACTTTGTCTCGATTTTCGTAACTTTTCCATCTACTTAGAACATCCATCTAATGCAAAGGAACCGAAATTGTTTTATTTTTATCTGTTTCACTGTCTTTACACATGAATGAATTTACGTAGGATGATGTTTTTCACTTGTTAATCTAAGACTAAGCTTTTTAAACTGATAACTTCACCTGTATGAATATGGATATTCTCAAAAATGTTTAGATGTTTAGGAAAATCACTTCTGTCTATCACGATATGTGTGTCAATTTGGTCAGTTAATTCTAATATAGGTGCATATATCTGCTCCAAAAATAATATCTCCCGTAAGATTAAAAAGTGATAATGACTAAGTATCGAGGCGTTTATTTCTACTTCTGGACAAATCAATATGAAATCTTGGATCCCTCTGACAGAAATGTTCCAGACTGGAACTGGATAGTTGCTCAGTAATTTTTCTTCCAACAGCTCTCTGAGGTATTTTATTTCATCAGATTAAGAAAGTCAGGGCACGTGCTTCGCATACGAAGCCAACAAATTCCTAGTCGAGCAATGTTAGCTAACATAGGCTTACTTTAGGAGTGACCGAATCGAAATCTGGCATCAATCCATGAAATCTTTGACTGTTGATTTGATCGACTGCCTTGATGTGGTCCATGAGACGCTAAAAAGCAGTGACTTGAGACAGTTGGCTCAAAGTCGTTCTCAATGATGCAGATGCGTTCATTCTTTATGAAATCCTAGATCCATGGAAATTTTATTATTCTCCATTTACTTATACCAGTTCATTATTGGTGCTTCGATTTTTTTTTCTATGATTTTGTGCAATATGAAGTGTTTAAACTTGAACTACTTCATTTCTGTGCCAAAGATGTACGTTGGAAATCAGTCATTCAGTATTGTGTCTCTTGTGAAGTGTGTCACGTTGCAGCATTGAACTGTGGAAAAGTATTCTGTCTCTAATAGGAGATAGAATGTTCAAATAAATATATAGTATTCTGTTGCTAATGCGCTATTGAACTGTGGGAATATGTGCGAGTAATATTCCTTTGGAACATATTGTTTGTATCACACCACCATAACGCGACCTTTCGTCCCTTTACAATCATTTGAATAATACTTTGCGTTCCTTTGTTTTGTAGATATGGTGAGGTTATTATTCTTGTACGTAAATTAGCTTGCATTCCATTGGCTAATATTTGAAAACACTTATTTGTAAACATTTATTTCGTATTTTAAGTTTTGACTGATTACGATTTGTATTCAAATTAGGTTCATCATCGTAGTCAACTCATTTTTTCTGCTAGTTCTGACGGTACTCTCAGACTATTTCAAGCTGATGATGATGTTCAGCCATATCTTACTCGACTAACTGCAAATGATTGGATGCCTTTTGGGCAAGATGTCCTATGTGGTCATCTGTCAACAACTTTATCTTGTCTCGCGCTCAGTCCCCACTGCACATGTGCATATGTAAGCAACGATTATGGTAGATTGGCTGCTGTCGACGTTAATCGTATTCCTGGTTTCCATGATTCCACTCCTGCTAGGAATAGAAAAGGTAATTCAACTCATTATTACTGTTATATAATTTTGTTGAAAAAACATCTACCGTAACACTTTGCAATTGGGAATTTTTCGATTTACTGCATATTCGTATATCGCCTTTGTCTTTGTAAGTTAAGTTGGCCTTGTGTGTTTAAATTACTGTAACTTATATTCTTATCAACTAATCTTTGGAAATGCTTCTGAGTGGACAAGGGAGATGAGATTTCGTGTGTGAGTAATGCCTTTTTTGAAGCGTCTATAGACTTCATAGAATCGTTTAAAATAAGCATTGTTTATTATTCTATCTAGTTTTTATTTCATTTATTGATAATATAGGTATATTCAGTATATATATATATATATATATATATATATATATATGGTTGACCTTTTGTTATCTTTACGTTATTTTTTCTCTCTTTTAATCTAAATGTCAAATCAACAGATGCAGTATTCATATTAGGAAGTAATAGTTGTACGGTCAATGCATTGCAACATGTTGATAATTCTACGTTGGCTACTGTAGACCAGTTAGGTCAATTGGCGCTATGGGATTTACGCACTGGATCAGAGAAACCACAGCGTAGATATATACGGTAAATTTTCAATCATCGTTTATAGGTTTATCGTTTGCTATAATATTGTTCCCTGCAAAAAAATACTTGCTACGGTAAACAAATCAAATTGTTAATTTAAACCCTAATCTCCAGTTTGGATTCTACTGTAGACTGCGTTTTTTATTTCACATTCAAACACTAATCTCTTGTAGAAGTGGTATCAGCTTGAGGAAACAGGAGTATCTGAGGGTCTGAGGGGATATGTAGTTAAAAATACATTGAAGTTAGTGATTAGTGATTAACCAACTCACCGAGTATGCCAACTAAAACAATTCTTTTTTGAATGGTGGAATGATGTACTTACCTCCAACTGATCTTGTAATCTCCTTCTGATTAGATATATTTTATGCAAATTATTTAAGAAATCATATTCATGTTTTCTGAATCTAAACGGTATTTCATAAAGAGGATTTCCTAATAGCATTTTTTTGCTTGGTGTTCTGTGCTTTTCTCTTGTAGAATACATCTCTTAAATATACCTCATTTTTTTTGTCAATGTTTCTACTTTTTCTCGGTTTTGTTTACTACAAAGACCTGAAGACAATCAAGCTCTTCTCTGCATTGCTCAACATCCTGGACAACCTCATATATTATGTGTTGGTGGTTTTCGTAGTTCTGACTCAGCTGCTTATATATGGGATACAAGGGCTGAAGAATATCCATTAACTTCTATAGATTGTGATGGTGAAGTAATATGGGAAACTGCTTTTCATCCACGCCAACCAAAACATTTATATATGGCTACTGAAACAGCTGGCCTAATTCGGATTAGTAGTGGTCATAAGTCAAGTTAGTTGTGCACTGTTTTTATGAAAGTTTTTCTTTTTGCATTATCTTCCGTAGTTTTGATTATTTTATGTATTGTATGTAGTTGAATAAGGTAATCTTAGTAAAATAATATACAATAAAAGTTTAGAAGTTGTACATTGACTGACTTTCCAATGTGTGGAATTTTACAAAATGCGTATCACACTTTGCGTTTTCAGGAAACTTACCTAAATGTATCGAGAAGGAATGTGATGAAACTATAGTGGACGAAGATATATTGAAGAGAGAATAGATAGATGAAAATTAGTGAAGATTTTCAGAATCAGCATGATAGTAATGATTATATATATATATGAACTATCGCGAACAATTTTAGGCAGTGTCACGAAGAATCTCCAATCATTGGTTCTTAGAATCTTGTCGACCCCATCCACGTCGACAACTCCCGACGAACAGTCACTGGCTTTGCGGATTAATGTCATCTTTTCATCTCTCCTGAGTGGCTCTTTTGTCCTTGGAGATGATCTCACTCACTATAGCCTTTTAGAATACTCTTTTTTAATAAATTCAGCTTTATAACCAGTATTACCTATTCCTGATGCCTCTTCCCTCCCTTTCATTGCTCACCAACGTTCAAAGTTGTTGTGAAAGCTTTTAGTCAGCTCACGTTTACACAGTTTTCGCTTCTTATCATGTTCGGTGCTCGTTGGCATCAGCCACTTCAGAATTCCATTGGCTGTAGCCTTAGTTGTAAGTCATCGACTGTGTTCATTACTGTTTCTACGCGAGACTGAATATGATACCTTATTTTCTCAGGATGATAGACAACTCTTCTTAGTGTTTTAGTTCGCTAATCGGAATAGCTGGAATGAGTGTTCCTGAAGGCTTCACTATGCCAGAAAAGTAGGCTGCCGAACGGTTAAACGGAAGGCATTCACCATCGTATTATGAATTTTTTCGAAAACAGGAATGTAAGAGGAGAGTTGTACTGCTGGTCGATAGGGATGTTACAGCAGTAAGCTGTTTTCTTCGGAAACCATCATATCAGCTATTCTATCTTCCTGCTTATTTGGTAAAACCCTGACATCTTGAGATGTGAGCTACCTATGCTATATTTAAGTGTAATCATTTGATGAACATCATGCCGCTGAATATCCGAAACTTGCTGTACGGGTTAAGCTAGTTTTTGCGCACTTTTTGGTGTAAGGATAGTATGAAGCTGAATGTTGATTAGTTTACTACCAGTGGATAGTTGTTTGTGTGTGCTGTACAGCTGTGTTGGTCAGTAGGAATGAGCAAGGGTACTCGTTGATGGCGTTTCTTAATCGCTACTTTTTCATCCATTGATTGGAGATCGAACGAAGGGAATGATTAGTTTTATCAGAAGTCTGATTTATTGCAAAGTGGTTACACATTGTCATCTTAGTGGGTGATTTTAATGTTCAAGTGGAAAAGTTAAGGCAAATGGAAATGAATATTTGGGGTATCTACTAAATCGTGTATCGACAACACTGATAGCCTTTTACAATCTTGTTTCTGGTCAGCACTAATTTCAAACCTTAAGCTAATTTTTTTTTGAGGAGATAGACTACCTAGCTGCAAGTTATCGATGGAGTGGGTAGGTGGGAGATTGTTGGTCCTTCTAAAACAACTGCGTGGACTTTTATCACACATTATTTGTGCCTACTACTGAACGAACATAACATACAAACAGCTGCAAGGGCTATACGTGTCAGTCTCCTCTACGATAATATGAAGTCTGTATTTATTGATGAATGAACTACACACTTATTTATTTATTTATTTATTTTGGTTACAGCTTGATGCCACACCGTATTTTCAGTACAAGTATGGCATTTTCAGCATGGATATCGGTAGCCCAAATTTTGCAGGCCGACCATAGATATCGGGTGTGCGCCGGCAGGGGCTCGAACCTGGGACCATGTGCATGGTCGGCGAGAGTCCTAACCACTGTGCAACCGACGCACACAGTGTAATAAGCTTTACACTGCAGTTAGACGTGTTACACAATTTTATTTCCCTGTATGTGTCCAAATCTGTTTCATACTTTATGGTTTGAAAACAAATTAGTGTTTACCATATATATATATATATATATATATATATATATATATATATATATATACCGTAAAATAGTAATAGTTAGGTCAATGTTTCTGATAACCCAAAATCTACACAATATGAGATTGCGTGGTAAATCGACTAAGGTTCTATTGTAGTTCATTACACTACACAGAGAGTCAAAAAAGTAATTACTTCTAAAATCAGAATCCATCAAAATCATCCTTTGTGTAGGTGGATTCTGAACTGTTTGTAATTGTTATATTTTGATTTTATTTTCCATGTTTATATTTGACTGGTGAATCATGTCCGTTAATGTTATTGTACACCTTTTTATCTTTTTTTCACTTTACAATTTTTTAAGATTCATGGGTGTATAACAAAAGATCTCGTCGAAAGTTAACTATATCCTCCGCTCTGCCCAAAGGTACAGAAACTACAAGTGTTACTTCCTTTGATATTTCTAACACACTGTTAATATGCAGTAATTCAGAAGACATTTTACAGACTTTTCCTTGTGATGTGCCTTTGTTTTGAATATGAATCAGTGTCGCTTATCTAAAGTGTATGTTGTTATTAAATACATTTGTGATTTGACTTGTTCTCTGTCTGTCTGCATTCAACATAGAACTTGGCACCGAAGTGCAGCTGTTCGAGTTGCCACGTTCCAAATAGCACACAAAGGTAGACAGGAAAATGAGAGAAGAGAATCAATCGAGTTTTGACAAGTATAAGAGTGAAACAGAATGAGTAATGGTAGAAAGGAAAATGAAAGATTAGAGAGACCGAATACATTTGCGCCATTGACAACGATTTTGAGCCACGTCACCTATTGTCTCCAGCCATTGATTCTTAGAGTCCCGAGGGCCCCAACCCGGAAGTCTGCATCTCCCTACCTGACTCAGTTTAACTGTCATGGATTTCATGGATTGATGCCATGTTTTTGTTTGGCCACCACTTACTCTTTTCCAACCTGCACCTATATCAGCTAGTAATGCCCGTCGGGGGAGACGATGGTTAGGCATGCGCAGCACGTGACCTAACCATCTCAATCTATGTAACTTCATAGCCTCTTCGAGTGATTTTCCCTCTTTGCCCAGCACTCTACGCCTAACGTCAACATTACTTACCTTATTATACCACCTAACGTGAGAAAGAGATCGTAAACATCTGTGGTCAAAAACAGACAATCTCTTCATGTCTTCCGCTCTCAGTGGCCACGTCTCACCACCATAGAGAAGGACGGAGCAAACTGCTGAGCAGTATACACGTCCCTTGGTTGACAGCCGGATGTCACGCCTACGCCAGAGACGGTGTAAGTTAGCGAAAGCAGCCCGAGCTTTTTGGATCCGTGCTGTGATTTCGTCACCAATCAATCCGTTGGTGCTGATACAACTTCCCAAATAGGTGAAGTGGTCAACATGTTCTATCACTTCACTCCCTATCACGAAGCTAGGAGTTGACGTAGTCCAGTCCTGTAGCAGCATCTTACATTTTACAGGGGCGAATCGCATGCCAAACATACGAAGTTTGCTGCTCAGGGTGTTCAGAAGACTCTGCATTTTGTCAGCGTCCTCCCCTAACAGGACTATGTCATCTGCATATTCTAAGTCCATAAGACTATACCCTGGTAACAAGTCGATTCCTAAGTCGTTAAGTTCAGTTAAGGATACTTCCATTAGCATATCTACGATGAAGTTAAACAAAAAAGGGGAAGGTGGACATCCTTGACGGACACCACTGGTTGTTAATAAACTTATGCAATATGGAACTAATATATATTGATTATAGAGGTGAAGTAATACATATATATATATATATATATGTCGGTACTTATATAACTACTTTTTATATCAAGAGGGAATTCTCAACACTGCCAAGTATTAGAAAGCTATTAACGACCATCCTTTATGAGTAATAATAATAAAAGAGGCCTGCATGATAAAGATGCCAAGAAATATGTGCAATTAAACAAAGCAGAGAGACCTCAGGCTCACTCACACAACTTTATAACTTGAAAACGAATTAGTATAACTTCTCTATGGTACCACCAATGTTACCAGTAAATTACTTCTACGATATTGTTACTTACCTATAATAATAGAGAGCGAATGACGGCAAACCCAACGCTTCAAACATTTGACCTAACCCATACCATGCTCTGTAGTCATTTCTATCATAGACAAGTGCTCGTTTATAAGCATGTATAGCAGCATTTGTATTCCTTAATTCCATATATTCGTGGCCTTGAATATTGGTACAGAAAAGATTAAGATGAGAGATATTATTTGTTAGCACTTCATAAGACTTAAATTTGTTGTGCAATCAATATATACATAAATAATAAGTGTAAGAACATTTACCATTTGCCAAAATAAAGGAAACATAAATGATTACATACTATCTGTTACGCTACAAGTTTGTATTGTGACGAAAATTTTCATCCGAACTGTTAATTTTCTGATGAAAATAACTTTTTATAGTGAGTTTGAGTAGAGTGCCTTGATTAGTGCAATGTACTTTCTTGGCACTCCCTTCACAGTCGAACATTGCCATAGAACCTCTCGATCCACGGAGTCGAAGGCCGCCTTCAAGTCAAGAAATATGGCAATTGTTGGACGCCTAAAAGTGTGTCTATGTTCTAGGATCTGTCGGAGAGTGAAGATATGATCTATGCACCCTCTACCTGGCCTAAAGCTCGCTTGATTTTCCCTCGTTTGTTCCTCCCGAGTTTGGCTTAGTCTGTGCATGATTACTGAGCCTAGGATTTTAGAGACTATTTTCGTCATGCTGATTCCCTATCATTATCACATGAGGATTTGTCTCCCTTCTTGAATATTGGTATAATAAGTGACTTACCCCAGTCTGATGGAACCGTCTCTGATTCCCAGACGTTGCCTAGTACCTTAGTTAAACTATATACTAGTATGTCACCCCCATATTTAAACACCGGAATAATTCCGTCGGGTCCTGTCGCTTTGCCTCGTTTCAGATTACAGATAGCTTTGGTGACCTCACTTACAGACGGTGGGCCAGTGTCTATGTCCCATTCGGGTGTGTGCTGGATGGCGGGGAGGCTCAGTGTGGCTGTAGGCTAGTTAAACTGTTCCTCGAAGTGTTCTTTCCAGCGTTCAAGGCGTCCATCCTAAGAGCTAATTAAGGAGCCATTTTTCTCACAAATAGTCTCACTTATGATTTGCCTTCTCCCACCCGTTTCCCTGATGAGTCTAAAGAGTTGTCTAGTGTTGCCCATCGCCGATGCTTTTTCCATCTCTTTCGCCTTTGTCACCCACCACTGTTCACGGTCCTTGTGGAGACTTTTCGTAAGTTTCCTTTTGTGCAGCTTTCGCTCCTCATTGAATTTGAAGCTCGCCGAAATAAGTCTACTAGCATCCATCAGTTCGGATGAGGCAGTCGAAATCCAATGGTTTTTACTCACTTTTGGATTTACCTCATTCACAGCTTTTACAGCTGTATCTATAGCTGACTGAATATTCTTCAGGGTGAGCGCAGCTGTCGAACTCAGATATGTGTTTAGCTAGTTCTTCCTCAAATAGGGACTTAGTTTCCTGATCGAGCTGGGGACGTGATGGGTTTACCGCTAGCTGTTTCCTACGTCCGTTCAGTCGTAAGCACACACGAGCGTGGACCAGTGCGTGATCGGTATCTGCACACGTGTTCCAGAAGGAGCGACAATCTCCTACCGACCCACGCCAACGATAGCTTATTGCTATGTGGTCTATTTGTGTCGAGCGTTGGTTTGATGATGGGGGTCGCCAGGTCAAACAGTGTCTCTCCTTGTGTTTGAAGTTAGTGCTTACAAGAAACAAATGATTATCTGAACAGAACTGTAGGAGACGGTCACCGTTGTCGGTTCGCTGGCACGGAAATCCATATGTGCCACCGACATTCTTCTCAGATTGACACAATTTCCCTACTTGAACATTAAAGTCACCAGCTAGAACGACTATATCTGAGCGTGTAGCCTTTCGCAGCAAACCAGACAGCTTTTGGTAGAACTCATCCTTCGTTTCATCCGAACTGCAGTCAGTGGGCTCGGGTAGACGGAGATTGCGAAAAGGCATCGGCGAGTAGTGCAGTCCTTTCTCCTTTTCACTGATCCGTTCAGACGGGCAGCACACATTCGGCTATCTACCGGGATCCAGTCCAGTAATGGCTTTTCTGCCCTAGTACTCAAAGCTATCCCAACACCAGCTAATCCCCGTGAGCTACCTGTGGCATCTCCTGACACCCTAAAGGTGAATTTCGCAGATTCATCCTGTTGGCCAGGTGGGGTTAGGTGAATAACCACACTTGGGTCTTGTATGCGTGTTTCTGAAACACAACATACATCAATGGCTCGGGATGCCAGAGTCTTGGCTAGTGATGCTTGTTGTCCTATTTGGCAAAGTGTCCTAACATTAAATGCTCCTATATGAAATTGGTGGCGTGGCTTTAGGAGACTATCGGTAATGGTCTTTTGGCTTCCGTCGTTTTTAGTGGACACAAAGTGAAGAGCCATCAAGTAGAGGAGTTGCACCAGTAGAAGGAAGACAATATAATAGAGATGAAGACAAAGATGAGTGAGGATTAGAGAGGTTTCGCGTGCATTTCGGATTGTGAGGGCGATTCTTACGTCCCGGCTGCCCACACCGTGGAAGTTGGTTGCGTGACCGCAGAGCCCAGGGGACAACTGCTTGAGGCCGGCCACACACGGCCTGTTTTTGTTTGTTCTTTTTCATTTGGTGTGTCTCAGTAGCATATTTATCACTTCTGTCCTGTGACACGGCAGCAGGAAGCGCGGTCGTTCTAATCCGGGCCCCGACCGATCCGGCATGATATTTTGTGATTTACTTTGGGTCATAGCATTGGGTTGGGTAACTGCTTTTTGTCTAACCTTTCTGGCATGGTAGGACCTCAAGCGACATAAGTCTCAGCCCGTATAGCTTGTTGGATCATTGCGGTGTTCAAGCCCGACCACCACGTCAAGGTAGCAGCTTTCGGTCGGGCTTGTTATCAGGGTACAGTCTCGTCCATATACCGTATGCGTTGGGTGTTGTCTTTCTGAGTAGAGAAGCTAACGAAATGCTGTTTTTTGACAACATTGAGCAGTCATCTTCGAATATTTTATATGCGATTTCCTCCCGTGAAATGTAAGACAGGACTGGACTGCACCGACTCTTAGCTTAAAGATAGAAAGTGGAATAGTAGAGCGCATTGACCGCTTCACTTATTCGGGGAGTAACATCAACACCAACCGGCTGATTTATGACTAAATCTCAGCACAGATACAAAACGTTTGTATGGCATTTTCCAAGTTACATCATCTCTGGCGTAGACGTGATATCCGGTTATCGGTCAGATGACGTGTGAACTGAGCAGCAGTTTGCTCCCTCTTCGTAAACGGCTGAGATAGGACTGCTGAAAGTGGAAGATATGAAAAGACTAGCTGTCTCTGACCACATACGTTTGCGTTTTATCTCCCGTGTTAAGCATTATAATAATATTGAGGTTAGGCGTCGAGTTTTAGGTAAGGAAAGTGAGTCAATCAATAAAGTTGTGGAAATGGGTCGATTGAGATAGTTAGGACATGTGTT